CAATTGTTAATGAATTGTTTCTTCTCAAAACCAGGATTCATTGAACAAATTTATTAAAAATTAGTAGGACATTTCTTAAGGGCTGCATACTTCTTCCTCTTTTTCTTATTTACCTGCGCAGACACTGCTTACGCGATTATAGCCGAGTATTCCAAGCGTAGCCAGGTCCTTCTCGCCCTGCTCCTTCCAATGGAGTGAAGGCTTCCTCTTCCTCTGCTTCCCCTGTCGGGTACTGCGTCGAATACTTTCAGAGCTAGAGTGTTTTCGTCCATTCGGTCAATATGACGTAACCAGCGTAGGCTCTGTCTTTGAACTATGTCAATGTCGTCGTATATCTCGTACAGCTCATTATTCCATCGAATGCGATATTCATCGTGGCCTACGCGCAAAGGGCCATAGATCTTTCGCAGAACTTTTCTCTCGAAAACTCGCAACGTCGACTCCTCAGTTGTTGTCATCGTCCAAGCCTCTGCCCCATATAGCAGGACGGGAATTATGAGCGACTTATAGAGTTTGGCTTTTGTTCGTCGAGAGAGGACTTTACTTTTCAATTGCCTACTCAGTTCCAAGTAGCACCTGTTGGCAAGAATTTTCCTGCGTTGGATTTCCAGGCTGACATTGTTGGCGGTGATTATGCTGGTTCCCAAATATACGAAACTAGCGAGTGCGATGACTGTTTGTTTGATGACAGGAGATATTTCATCTTGAACGCGTTCAATGCCATACCCATTTGCTTTGCTTCCTTGTATAGTCTGGAGAAAGCAGAACTTACGGTGAGGGTGTTGATGCCGATGATATTAACATCATCGGCATACGCCAGCAGATGTTCACTCTTATAAATGATTTTAATTGCAAGGTTAAGTTCTGCAACTCGAACTATATTCTCCAGCAGCGGGTTGAAGAATTCGCACGACAGGGAGACGGCTTTCCTGAAACCTCGTTTGGCATCGATCGGCACGGAAAGGTCCTTCCCGATTCTGACAGAGCTTTTTGTGTTGGTCAACGTCAGTTTACACAGCCGTATATGTTTTGCAGGGATACCAAATTCAGACATCGCGGCATAAAGGCAGCTTTTTTTCGTGCTGTTGAAGACTGCTTTGAAATCGACGAAGAGACCCACCATCTCTCGATTTACATTTCACGGGTCTTTTCCAATATTTGGCGTATGGTGAATATCTGGTCGGTTGCTGATTTGCCAGGTCTAAAGCCACACTGATAAGGTCCAATCAGTTTGTTGACGTTGGGCTTTAATATTTCACACAATACGCTCGATAGAACCTTATGTGCGATGTTGAGGAGGCTAATTCCACGGTAGTTGGCTCAGATTGTGGGGTCTCCTTTTTTAAGAATTGGGCATAGCACACTTAAATTCCAATCGTTGGGCATGCTTTCGTCCGACCATATTTTACAGAGAAGCTCCTTATCAGTTCTTTTTCGCCGTGTTTAAATAGCTCGGCCGGCAATGCATTGGCCTCCACCGTTTTGTTGTTCTTCAGGCGGGTAATTGCTATTCGAACTTCTTCATGGTCGGGCAATGGAACGTCTGCTCCATCGTCAACGAGGAGGGAATCGGGTTCGCCTTCTCCTGGCGTTGTGCGTTCACTGCCATTCAGCAGGCTGGAGGAGTGTGCCTTCCTTAATTTTCTTTTGCTCCGGCATCTGTCACTAGATCACCTCGGGGGTTCTACAAGAATATTTTCAGATTTATAGATTAAGACAATTAATGCGTTTTGTTCCTAATTGCAACTAAACTTATTAAACATATATTGTGTAACTCTATCTCGATAAGTTTAAGGTATTAGAAGGAATGAAGTGAATCAAATGAATATAATCCGTAGGAACATGTTGCGTGTGTATATATAATAAATTAACACTTTGATATACCTAAACAGTGCCTTGATCCCGTGAGAACATGAGATATTTTAATAAACTGTTTCTTTTAGTAACGAAATTCTAGAATTCGGTCAATGACGTCTCGTCATATACCTTTTTCTATTTCTTCTTTTTTCAATATTTCTCTTCCTTTAATCCTTTCGGATAATTGTCCACGCCTTAAAGCCATAGTAGTTACATGATAATTTATTATTTGGTTCCGTCGAAACATAGTTTTCCTTACTTATTATATACGAGAATTTATGTATGTGTGCTATGGTGTTTTAAACCAGAATGTTTGTTTGCAGTGTTTGAGAGTCTTCTTACCGATTGGTTATATTGTTGGTTTCACACATTTTGTTTCATTTCCAAAACGTTGCGAGGTAATAATATGTTTTACAGCATTCCAATTTATGTTGTTCGTTATATTAAATGCTATTGAGCCGCTTATCTTTCACTGATGTCGCTGTGTTCGTAAACTTGGCAGCCTATCTGGCGCTTGTTGTTTCTACCACCGTATTTCACAAGTTGCATTGGTTTGACTGCTTGGCAAAGCTGGTCAAATCAAATGAAACATAACGGTCACAACACGCCACACGAGCATAACTATAATACCAACGTTAGCATTCGTCATACATTTAGAGTACTTCGGTTATTTTGATTATTGTAGATATACGTTGCATTCCAATACACAAATATTAAATTTTATTTAATGGCATTTAATCAATCTAAAATCGTGAAAACGGAAGAAAAACGGACAAGTGAATGCGCAATTTACGGAAAATTTCAGTGTGAAATGACGAATTGTATTTTCGCTTTGGACAAAATATTAAATTTGTTCAAAATAATTAATCAAATAATGATTGCTTGTGTTTTAAGAGTGGTTATGGAACTAACACTAATTATTATATTTTTTGAAAAGTCTATATTTTGGAATATCTGTTCAACAAAATGTTGGATACCAAAATAAAACATTCTCTAACTTTGAATATTGAAAAAAGTATTTACGCAATATAGGAAAAGCTTACAAATAAATATTCTGATAGTCTAATATTTTACGACAAAGGAAATAACCCACCAACAAATAACCATCAACAATTCCTGAACATGTACATGCAAACACATGCACAAATTAAAAGCAGATTATATAGAATAATATTCCTTTAAAATATAACGTTAAATTTAAACAATGATGCAATTTTTAAATACAAAATAGTTTACTAAATTTGAAATAATAATTGCAAGCCGAAATAAGCATACAGCTGTTACTTTTGTAGTTAGTTGTACAAAATGTTAAAATGAAAATTTAAAACTAATTTGAAACTATTTGCGAATAATAGTGATTTGTTTTGTTTATAATATTTAATACATTTTACAATATTTAGGTCTTTCACAATAATTATATTTAATAAAATATGGGGTTATATGCCAATCATGAGTACAAATGCACTTCATTTTGATTTAAAAAATTACTTTGAATGAAATAAATGACATAGTATTACCGATTTTAAATCTATTTTCGTATCCCACTTTAAATAATGGATGGATACAATTTGACATAATCCCCATATTAAAATATTTCGATTATACTATTTACTAATTTATATTAAAAAAAAAATATATATATATTCTAGTCCAATAAATTTACATTATTTCCATAGAGGTTTTTATTACCTATATTTTTGGTTGGTTTTGAACAAACTGGCATACATCGAGTGGTGCAAAAACATTGAGCTTTATCAACTTAAGCGACACAGTGTCGCCTTTTACCAATTGTAGTTTGTCGGGTAGACGTTTACTTTGTTGTTGATATCGCCGCCATAGTCAGTATTACCATTTGTGATTGGGTTACTTCGTATATTTCTTTCATTTCATTTGTTCCTGTAAACTAGTGAACATCATCGAGTCTTATGACCCTTTTCTAAATACAAGAAAGAGGGTGAATCATCCCCAGTCTTGCCACAGACTCGTACTTAGTGTTCTAACTATTGTATGTGCATAGTATTATGAACACGACTTTGCAAATGTCCATTTATATTCGTACGAAAGTAATCAGCGAACACATTCGCATTTCATATGAACGTAGTAAGAATGTTTCCAATATTTATAAAATTACTTAATGACTTTACTTTCTTAATGATTTTACGGATAAGTTCTTTTTAGCGGGGTTCCCTATATATAGGGATTGCTAATACATATGTATATCTTATTTATAAGACGTGGAAGTCTCAAGGTAGTGAAAGAACTACTTAAAGCCAGACTTCTTTGAATGAATTCTAACTTCAATTCGATGTCTGTAGTGACACAGGTTCAGTCGAAATTTTTTGCATACTAATTATTTTATTTTCGATTTTGCTATTCTGAACGAATGCGCTCCCTAGAAAGGGAACACATACATACCCCAACCCAAATGACATATTGAGCAAATAGATAACTACATTTACATGAAAGGGTTGTGTTAGTTCCTTTGTGAATATGCATAGTAAACATTTTTGCAACGTCGCCATTGTAGAAAAACTACTGGCACCAAATAGACATTTTTTTCTTCACATTGCAGTCGACTAAAGTCATACATATTGCTCGAACATAGTATTAAATCTAGGCAACTGAACGAAAAAATATATTATACATACTTACATGCCTGCTTACATTTCGTTTTTATCCAAAAGCGGACGTTCCATGCTAATTACTTGGCTGAGTGAGACTACTTATTACCGTTTTTGACTGCATAATTAACAGAATGTAGCTAATAATGATTTATCTTTAAGTAAATTCTCAAATCAATTCCTTTTTCTTTTATGGTCCGCGTTAAATCAACTCATAGTTTTGGACTGCAGGTGGGTAAAGGAACTTAAGTTTGGAATTAATTTCTTCGGGCATTACTTCCACATGGGTTAAAATAATTTGATGTGAAGATTAAAAAATGATCGGCTTTTAGTTAATCTTAAAGACAAAGTGCTTGCTACGTTCTATACAGATAAACTGTGCTGTTATATTCGTTATTCCTAATTATTATTCGCTGTAGATAAATACTCAAACTCGGAAAAAAGAATTTGAAACCATCTCAAATAAGTTGCGCCATAGTGGTACACTTTATATAGACTTGCTGCGACTTATGTAAAGAAAACCAATAAGTTCTGAAATCAATGAACACGGAATAAGTGAATACAAATCAAATGTGGTTATGCAAATAATAAAAGTAACTAAATTTTGTATGGTTTGCTGTTTGAAGTCGATATATTTCGCTATTGTTCTTCTGCCACTAATCAGTGCAGAAAGCCTAACCAACGGAACCAGTGCCACGAACGTCTATCGACCATGGAAAACAATATCATTAAGAGTTCCAATATTAGTCATCGTAAGAAATATAAGCCACCAATATATCACTTCAGTTTTAGAGACAGGTACATTTGCTACCATGTACAATGTGTATTTCTTTCTCTACATCCATCAACATCTTTGTCGAAGTTTTCACAACATCCTCATAAATGTGGAAAATTACAACAAAACTCATGATACAACTAATTATATTATATGCCTCAACAATAGTAAAAATTTCCAAGAAAACAAAGACAAGTATGAAGATGACAATGGGAAAATCAATGATTTGAGTAGGAGCGTGAAACAATATTGGAAGCGAAAACAACTAGCATTAAAAAGTAGGCGAGATATTACAGGAGTTAAAAGTCAACTTTACTGCGATGATATATTCGAATTAGCATTGTGTATGATAACTGCCATTTTTATAGAGGTTATTCCGATTACTATTCGCTACGCTTGCAAGAAAACTGCACTTTGCTGGCGAAGGCTGTTCTGCTGTTTCTATCATCGAAACTATACGAAAACACCTTATTTACGGCAGTATTTACATCAGCAGCATCGTGCTGCCATTAACTGTTTTTGTGATGTTTTGAAATTGAGCGCAATAAAATTTAAGAGAATATTGGATCAACAACAAAAACATTTATGTATACTTCAACAGAATCATTTAGCCATTTTTGCAGTGATAACTGGGGAAATATATCCACTTTTTATTCAGGGAGCAACTACTCAGTCACCCGAGATAAGCGTACCAGCTATTGCCGACAGTTTGTATATCTCAGGAGAAAAACTTATAATTTTTCCTGCAGTGCCAACAATGATGGCAACTACAGCTATTATTGCACAGAACTGTAAAAAGTTCTGCCACCATTATTTGCTAAAAGCTGTTACAATAAACCCTATTACATTTTCATTTTATGCACAAATCAGAGCAGATCACGGGCATTGTATTATAATGCCTAAAGAAATTCGACTGCTTCCGAAACAGATAACTTATCTGATATGGGAAATTAAACAACTAAGGCAGCTTGACGTTTCTTGCGAGTATAAGTATTTCGTTTGTGGCGGAAAGATAATAGAAAATAAATGTGCTGCTAACGAGAACAAGGACCAGACACTGCGGCACAATCTGAGAAGTTTTGCAATACTTCTACTATTGATTGAATACTATGACACTGTATATGAAAACTATGACAATAATTATGCAAAATCTCAAAACAATTGTTACTTGAAACTCTTCGAAGAGCGGTTATTGAAAATATCTAAAGATTGTGGAATATTATCTACACAGATGAATAATTTTATAATCGGTTTTTGGAAAAAAGTCAAGTATGGTCGTGACATTTCCGTCATACACACAAATTCAATATTTAAAGAACCACAATTAGGTGCAAAGCGTAAATCTAAGCCTAATTTTGGAAAACATATTCAGCCAATGAAACTACCAAACGCATCACCATATTGGAATGTGCCATTTCGCTCGGCAGCAACATTCACATGTCAACGCATACAAGATGAAGGTACCAATTGGAAAGAATGCTTACAGGCTATAATTAAATTCGACCTTTGCTGTTGTTGTTGGAGTTTCTATTGTTATCGTCGCATTAGTATCTCTGTCGGAGTTTCGAACGGTTTTGGTAGCAAATGGTATAGGTGCTATCCCTGGTATAGGAGGCAATATGCTTATAAATTTCTGCACTGCATATATTGCTACTATTATTTACATTGTTATTATTCTTCAATTCAATATTGTTGCTACTGTTGTTACTCAAAATTTTGTAAAAAATCCGTAATGTATCCATGCAACTGCTCAAATAATAAATCCAATCATGACTTCCGTAAGTACTGCCCTAACACCCAGCGAAATGAAAAGAAAACTGAGGAGCAGAGAGTTTTGCTACAATTGAATTGCTTTCAGAATTTTTTTCGACCACAATATCCGACAAATATGAACTGTATAAGTAGCACACTTTCTGCATTGTACTTCTGTCATAGAATTTATTGGTTTCAAAATACGCAGAACTGTTGTTCACACATCACCAAGCCTAACACATTAGTTAACACAATGAATTCGGTAAAAACTGCTTGTGCTGAGACAATTTCAAACAAAAAGGTTGATTTTATCAATTCCATCCGATCTACCGCTATATATTTAATCAAATGTGTGTACATTGAACTAATTAAGTTAGAAGATTACATACGTAGACACATAGTTATAGTGCTTCAGACTAAAATATCAATACCCCGATCGACTGCCCTCGTAGTAAAGATAACAAGAGATCAACTGCAACAACAACAACAACAAATGGTCAACATTGCACATGATCAGCAATTAAAAATGAATTATTTATGCAAAATTTTTTGCAATAATTGGAAGAGGCACCGACGGAGGAAACGGCGACGTCGTCGTCGGCGCATGAATAAACAAGAGCAGCAGCAACATCAATCCGTCCGACTACAGCAGCAATACATAAACAATGAAAAAGAAACGTTATTAAGTGACATCAACAGCTCACGTTTGCATATATTGGACTTTAATGCTTGCAAAACTATCGCCACAAATGTCCCTGTGCATATGATATTATCAAAAGCACCAACTGTAACAATGTTGGCCGCAATGCGTTTTACAAATACCAAAATTGCCTTGACCGATGGAAACCGAAAGGATGCAATAAGTCCGTCTCAAACACCTGCATTGATTTCTTCACCATCATTAACAACGACAGCTAGTACAAGATTAAGCCGAAGCCGCAGCAGGCCGAATCTTGTTTGGCTTTTTATTGGACTGGTCTGGTTTGAAGGTCCAAAATATGTCAATTGTGGTATACAGAGTACTAGTCAATCTTCACAATCTAATCCTCAGTCTCAATCACAACCACACGCAGCAACACATACAGCAGAAACAACACTTGAACCGCTTCCAACGTCGGTCCTACTTTCCCAACGACAACAACCCAAAATTCCACCACCAGGGATAACATCTAATTTGCTTTTATTGACACCCAACTATAAACAAATATTCAAAGGATCGATGTCATTTATACAGAAGGGATCAATTGCCGCAATTGCCAACACCGCTAAGTATAAAATTAAGCAAGGGGCAAAGAGCAGTCTTAATGGCAAAATAATGCATATTGGCAATTGTTTCTCTCCGCGAAGACGTGCTTCCATAATGGCCACAAAAACAAAAGGCAAGCTGACACAATCATACGACAACGATCCCATAATGATAACCGATCGCAAACGATACAACTGGCTCGAACCAGGGGTGAATGTGGAGGCAAATTTTTTGGATGAAGAAGGTGAGTTATATTAAGTGGAATTATATATATGTTTGTATCGTGTTGGAAATATCCCAATACTCTTGCAACATGTTCCTACAGGGTATACTAGTTTTGTTTACTTAAGGGGGGAGCCTGCATTAGAGGCTTAAAAAAATCGATTTTTTGATGAATTTTTTGGAAGGCAAAGACATAATTGATTAGAGCGAAATTTCTAGGGTTTATAGTTATATGTTTAAATATTATCCGAAAATTTGTTGGATACGAAATCTTTGATATTCTGCCTTTGGAAAGCAATGGCCCGGTGCATCTCGAATGTGCATTGATTGGAGGGCGGGCAGGATACAGGTCGCAATTTCTATTGGAAAGAAAAAATTCAAAGAGATATTTTTCAATAACTTATCTTCTAGTTAAACTAAAAATATTCCAAAAAAAAAAAAAAAAATTCTAAAATTTTTTAATAATTGAAAAAAGGTGTTTTTTTTTACCGAAAAAATGTTTTTTTTTGTTGTGTAAAAAATAAGTTCAGACTTGACTTTTCTGAGTTTTTTTACTTTAAATAGAAGATAATTTAATGTCAAATATAATAAACTTTGTCCTAATTCCATACACGACTTTTAGCTTTTTTTCTATCCTGCCCGCCAATTAAGATAAATCGTAAAAATGAAAAACCGAGAAGCAGCACGTCAAAGTTTTCGCTTTCTGCCTAATCGCTCATATATCTGCTAAAGGCCCGGCCACTATTTCCCTTCTAGCTTCGCCAATACTTCGAATTCCAATTTATAACTTTAGGGACATATTCTTAGATAATTTTTGAAAAGATTTAACTAAAAATTTTTAGTCGATTTTTTGAAGCTTCTAAAGCAGGCTCCCCCCTTAAGGGGTCAGTAGTACCCTACTCTTTCCTTCTGGCCTGTTGTTTGGTTTTTTGTTTTTCATAGAAATTTTTATTCCACAATAGAATCTTTTTCACATATCATGAGGTATATTGTGGAGTGTATAAATTTTTTTTGGAATTTTTTGATGACATCTGTGATAAAAATGGCTGGGTAAATGAGATACGTTTTTTTACTGGCGGACACGATTTCTCATGTTTTGATCATCTGAAACACAAAACCCCGATTTATTCTTAAAAAGGCATGAATGGTTATCGTCCCTACTAGAATCATGACAGAATGTTGATAAATAAAAAAGTAATACATATTTTTTTTCTCCATGTTGTTTTATATAAATTTTGTCATAACATTGACAATAAATTATAAAAAGTTATGAATCTAGTAGGGACGATAGACAGGCGTTTTGTGAACATTAAAAAAAATTAAGCAAATCGGTCGCCAGTTTTAAACGTGTGTGTTTGAGGAAAACGCGTTTAAAATTTGAGGTGTGCACTCCGAGCACTCCGATCGTCGAGCGGTATTATTATTTTTGGGCCTTTTTCGAAACCTTTCAATGGTAAAGTGGGTTTCTATATTAATTCTAAGGGTATAAGGGTACAGAAAATGCAAACAATAATTTTTTGTTTTAAAAGATTATCCTAAAAATGTATGGGGAAAATATAATAAATATAATATATTTATCTCTACAAATGTATTTCTTGGAAAAAAAAATTCATATTTTAAAACTTAAATAAGTGTAGAATAATTTTTGTATACCAATTAAATTAATAAATTTAATATGAGCAATGATATTTTGATTTATGCATGTATACCTTTTTAAATTTAAGACTTCACTTATTCGCCAACCCATTTGGTATAAGTTTTCTGCAAATTAATATTATTAGAAAAATTAATTTTTCGAAAAATATATAAAATTATTTTGAAAATGTACTTACTTTTTATTTCGTACATTATTTTTTATAATTTAGTACAACCGTCTTAATACTCGCGCTATTAACTTTAAAATAACCGATATGAAACTGCCGTCGGTATACATATACTAATATGTATGTAAACGAACTGTGTTGTCTTTCCAAATTTTCATAGAAATAAAAACTGATGTGCCATACTGCTGAAGTGACAGTTGAATTCCAAATGACTGTCTGTCTTAATGAAACTTTTTGCACATGTTCCTAAAAATAAAGGACGAGTTAGAAGATGTGTTTAATCGGATCAATACCTCGACCACAATTGCGTGAAAACATTTGCTTTATATTAGGTTGTCAAAAAAGTCTTGCGGTATTTTTGCGGTATTTTTATTGAATTTTCAATTGTTCATGAAATTTTTTTTGATGACTCATGCCCAGCTCTTGACCGATGCTACGGCTGCTACTATGCCGGTGTCTTTCGACCAGCTCAGCGATTTTATCGCAATTTTCGACGACAAGCCTTCCGGAGCCTGGCGCATCTTCGACCACCTCTACACCAGAACGAAAACGTTGAAACCATTGTTGTGCGGTGGAAATGGAAACTGTATCGGGTTCATAAACTGCACAAATTTTATTGGAGGCTTGATATGCATTTTTGCCTTTATCGTAGTAGTACTATAAAATATGCGGTATTTTCTCTTTATTTTACTCCATGTTTGCGACGCTATAACTCACGAACGACTTAAAAGAAACGACAATCAATCGAACACGTGTTAGCGCGTAAAATGAGCTTTCCAAAAAGGTATAGCATGACCCGATGCGAAAATAAAACTAGAACTACGCGCTCTCAGCGCCAAGTAGCGAAAATACCGCCAAACTTTTTTGACAGCGTAATATATTCAGGCTAACTCACCTTTTTCATGTTAGCGGAGTTGTCATATAGCCATAACGATTTTTAGGTTCAAAGTCAATTTTCTTGTAACGTGTATATACATATTTAGCAATCGATATCGAGTTGCGTGAAAACGCAACTTACCTACATATATTAAAGCTAATAACGCCATTTCATTTGAAAAAAAAAAAAACACTATTTGGAAACGTACAAAAGGTCTTAACTAAGCCGTAAATTATGACACTGTACTAAAATTTGGCGCAATGAGTTACATTAAGGAGGAACGCATCTTTAGAAAGATGGCATGGAACCGCCTTTAATAAGTTTAATGTATCTTACAAACCAGTAGAACTATATCACCAAAATTTGCACTGTACCAATTCTTTCAACCCTTTTTACGGCAAATTTCTATAAAACAATAACTAAATGCTTCAGAGACATTAAATTTTACATTCAGGATGGCACAAGAGAGCTTTATAAAGCCGGTATCAATATTGGGCGCTGGGCATGATACCACATACCTCGGGATCTACTACGATTTCAACAATATTCTTTACATAAGATTTTTCTTACATTCATATATTACACAGGGAAATGTGGGCAATCTTATACTATTTCCTAATAATACAGTTTTAAATTCCTTTTTATATTATCCCGTAGTATTTTTTTTGCACGAATAGTATCTTTTAAGTGTATTATTCAAGAACCTGGTTAGTGAATATGTCAATGACTGAGACATTTAAATGAAATTCAAAGAGAATCCCTTCCCGAGAATAGTATGTCTGAATGTTGGGCCGGGTCAATAATGCCCTTAGCTAGGGTTACCATATTCCCTGATTTGTCAGCGGCGATTTTTTGTATTATTATTATTTTTTTCTGAGTGTACATACGCAACTGATTTTGACTGAGACGGATATTGTGACCCAACCTTTAGCCCCTATTTGCCTAATATAAAGTTTTTCTAACTTTATACCCCATATATCGACCAATATGTGAGTTATCTCAACGAAAACGTGAATAACTATCTTTGTGCATAAAATATATGGTTTTGCTCCATTTAGATTGGTGATGGTGGCTGAGACGCCGTAACGAATCTCAGGAAGCATTTTATTAGTATGTGATATATGTTAAAAGAGATAAAATCGGCTAAATTTTACCCCCACCTCCCATATACTTCATAATAATAATTTTTCTTTTTCTAACAAGTTTACCGTTCATATTTATCAAAATGTGATATTTTAATGTAATTAAATGAACAAAGTTTTCTTAAAAACTATAAAAATATAGTGCTGAGTTTTGGTATATACCTTGCTCTAATGCTCATATTCCTGCAAGTTTCAAGAGTATAAAATGTTCGGTTACACCCGAATAAATTGTTATATAATAAAAATTAATTATTTTTACTTTTTCACAGCACATAGTGCACATAGCGATCACGCTCGTCTGGAGTCTATTAAGAGACAGATATTGACTAAACTTGGTTTAAAACAGAAACCCAACGTATTTCACCCACTTCCAAAGCAATTTATATGGGACACCATATATCGTGCAGACGGTATTCGCAGCGTTGTCAGTGATTTAGATTTCGGTGAAAATGGATCACATCGAATGGAATTAATGTCAGACTTAAATAGCACAAAAGAAACACGAAGATCGCATTCTGCAAAAGCAAATGGTATTACAAATCTTTTACTTAACAGCCGAGGCTTCCAGAATGGTGAATTCGCAAATACGATTGGTAAGAAAAAGCTGTTCAAAACTTTCCAGGTATAAAAAAATAAATATCAAGATAAAAATTAAGAAAAATTGGCCAAAAATCAAATAGTTATAATATATAATATATTATGAGGCGATTATTATAATATACTTATGAATCATAAGATTAGAAGTTTCCTTACAATGTATACAAGCCAGCGGCAAAAAAATAAATAGAAATTCTCTTAATCTAGGTTCAGATGCCGAAAAAGTTTTCAATGTAAATTATAACGATTACTTGCATCATGCGCGGTTTGACGAGTCTCAGATATTAAACGATAGCCAGTTAACGAATAATTTCACATATCTTATGCATATTAGTAAACCAAAGCCAAATAAAAACTTCCTAGGAGTTGATGAACCGGTATATAGTGATATAATTTATAATGAAAAAGATGATTTACTCGAAACAGAGACCGACGAATTAAATCACAAAGTGAACCACGGTATTCATAATGTTGGTGAACCTTATTCTTATGGTGAAAACAGAGATGGGTATAATTTACACCATCGGAAATATTCTTTGTCAGCAGATCAAAATAAATACGAAGGTGATGATTTCCAAGGCGACACACAAGAGCTCATCATATTTGCGGAGAAAGGTAAGAATGAAAAATCAGAACACAAGGTCTCATAAATAACTTTATGTTAGAAATAGGATATATTAATTAATTTATTATAGCGTTATTTAATGTAATATAGCATCATATATAATATATACATCCAAATCCGTTCGCATATGTCGAGGTGTTGTTGTAGAGTTCCGGATAGAAATATTTACTTACATGTGTAATTAGGAATAATGATAACTGACAGCAATTAAGTAGTCTTTGTATGCATACCCATAAATATAGTGTAAATATGCATAAATGCAATGCAGACAAGCTCATTCGTACACATTTCACCATGTGATTATCTTGTCTTAAATGTAATAACGTTATGTCTCAACTGTGTTTTATAGAGTATTCCAAAGCTCTAAGAGCTCTTCAATGCTCTTACATAAGTATATTCACAAGTTATATATATTGCAACATGTCTGGATATCTACATATGTAAGAATTGTTTACTCATCCGTCTGATAGCTGTCTGTTGGTGTCATACTTGGTTGCATGAATACCTACCTGCATTGAGCACGTAGCTAAGCTGTATGTTTGCCTATACTGTCATCTAGCTTATTATTCATTTTTCCGTTGTTGAGGTGTGGAAAAGAGCCTCTTAATCTCATATACGAGTATGACCATCAATGGTGGTTTAATATGGTGCTAATGAGTGTAAGCAGACTAAAGACGAAGTAAAATTTTAGTCTATGTCGAAGATACCAGACAATTTGTTGATGAAAGTTATATAGCTGAACGCGCAATGCTACTCTACCTTATATATCTAATTATATTACATGCACCTATTTTTGGAATTTTTGTCTTAATTCAACCGTTTGTCAATGAGCTGAATTAATTTTGAAATACAAAAGTATATGCATTTAATTGTGGAATATTTCCTACACATTCAATGGTTATTTAATATTTAATTAATTTTATCATAACTTTTTTAAATAAGATAACTGCCAAATCCATACTTACCAGACATATGATTATAACAACATTGAAAAGCACCCAACCATGCTATTAATTTGTCAAAAGGTTTAGGGTGTGCTTATATGTTATATATCGTTCTTCTACATAGTAAGTAAAATTATATTGTCTTCAACTCAATACAATGTCAATTTTATACTCTCTGAGTTTGTAGGGATCGAATATGGCTAAGTATTTTTAGGTATTGGCCAAACTTTATATATAAAACGTTAACTTCGGCTGCACCGAAGCTGTAATACTCTTAACAAATGCATTATATATATTTTGATCGATCAGGTTGTATGACAGCTTTATACTGAATGTAGTTGTGCTATCTGCAGAATTTTTTCGGAAATTGTAGCTATGCTTTAAGTTATAATCTGTGCCAAATTTAGTGAAGATACCTTCAAAAATAAAAAATTTTCCATGCAAGGACTTGAGTTTGACCGGTCAGTTTATTTGATAGCTAAACGGTACAGTCAGATCTAAGTAATTTCTTCGAAGATTATAGCGATCTTTTAGATAATATTTCTGCCAAATTTCGTGAAGATACTTTTTTCTCAAGTAAAATGTTTCCATCCCACATGTTGACCTTGAACGGTCAGTTTGTATGGCAGCTGTATGCTATATTGTATAGTATATATCATATATAATTAAAAAACTGATTCAAATGATTCTTACATGAAATTTGAATACAACTGATTTGAAATAAAAAGTTTTTATTTATGAATTGTACTGACTTTTAACATAAAACGAGTAAAAGATATCAAATGTTCGTCCTCTAGTTCTAAGCTACCTCCTCACCAATTTTCTCCCAAATCGGTTCAGTTATTTTTGAGTTAAAAATTGTGTAAGAATGTAATGGGTGCAAAAAAATGTCTCCATTAGGACTTTCTGTGAGAATAAATATATAACCTTGCAAATTTTCATATCTTTTCGTGCGGGTACATAACGAAATTGCGTTTCATTTTTATACTCTTGCAACCAGTTGCTACAGTGTATTATAGTTTTGTTCACCTACGGGTTGCACGTATCATCTAAAACTGAGGGTATCTCCCTCATATATATGTATCCCTCATATGATATAAGGTTGTATATATAAAAATGATCAGGATGAGAAAATTTAAAATCCGGTCTGTCCGTCAGTCCGTACAAACTGTAACTTGACTAAAAATTGAGATTCGAATTCGTAGATGGGCGTAATCGGACCACTGCCACGCCCACAAATCGTCATTAACCGCTAAGATATAAAATGCCAAAACTAAGCACTGTATTCAAATATAAAGTTGTAATTTGGTACAGAGGATGCTGAGTGGATAAAATCGAAGCATAACCCCTCTCACTCCCCATATAGCGGTACTGTTACAAACTACTAAAAGCGCGATCAATCCATTGCTAAATGCGCCAGAAACATTAAATTTTACCACTACCACCGAAATGATATAAGAGAACTTTATGGGAGCAATTGGACGATGGGTGCGGTACCGCCCACGTTTTGGGGAAATCCCACACTCGAGACCCGACTGAACAAATTCGAAAAATTTGGTACGTGGCATTCCTTTTATATTTATATGTCACATTGTGAAAATGGACAAAATCGGACAACAACCACGCCTACTTCCCATATAGCATAATTTCAAATTCCACTTGATTCGGTCAGTTTCCAGTACACGAATCAAGAAATTTTAATCACTAATTTCTTTAGTGTTTCGAACATCCGTCTTTACTCTATGTGATTGGTTTTAAGTATATAACATGTTAATAGTAAATGTTTGCCATTGGGAAAAATAGATAAAATCTGGTCTATACCTAGTACAAAAATTTTCGAACTTCTGGGTGACTTTGTGTATGCAGTAGTAGGCCAATATGTGAGTTATCCCAATGAAAATAAGAGAGCGTATTTTACTCTTTACAGTGTATCTTAAAATTGGGCAAAAAATTAGCCTAGCCCTTACATAACGAATATCAGGATTTTCGAACTTGCGGCTGCTTTACTCCATATAATTGTTTTTACAACTTAAAGTATTTCCCTGGCTTTGATTTTTGCAAGTTGCAAGAAAATTAAATATTTGGTTGCACCCGAACTTAGCCCTTACTTACTTGTTGAATATAAGAAGATACTTATTTGTAAGATACAGATAATTAAAAAACTTCTATGTTTATTCCTTGCGTTAAGAAGCTGCTCATAATTACTTTAATGCTACAGTAAAACCACTTTAAAGAAAGGAAACACTTAAGAATATACTTAAACATAAGTATGCCTATACTTACAGGAAAAATGATTAAACAACATCGACTAGTTGAGTTCGCACCACAAAGAAAGTACATGTCAAATGAAAAATTTTTTGTTAGAAAAGCTGAAATTCACATTCGGATTGATAAATTGACAACAGGGTGCAACGATAATGTGAATAGAAAAAATCGTGGATGTGGTGGCAATAAAACGAAACCCAAACTTTGGATATTTCAAGTAATGGAAAATAATACAACAAAGAAGGTAAAAGAAATCGATTTAAATTTAAGTATATCAACTATGTATATATAAATTCAGTTGAAAAAGTATACCATATCTTCACGAAGTTCCCAGTTTCGTCGGGACTAATATAAATTACAGACTTTTCGTTAAAAAAAAACAAACAATAAAATATCAAAAAAAACCGAAAACTTGCAAAGATAAATTATGATGTAGAGTGGTATTTAAAAGGAAGACGTAATTAAAAATTGAAGGTGATGATATAATATTGGGTAAGCTTTGGTTTAGTGGAGAAAATAGAAGAAATTGGTTTCAGAACTGCACCAGCTACAAATAATGATTTTCGATATTCTAGTATCGAATATACTAAATCAATCGAAATGTAAATTTTGTACTTCTTACAGTAAATTAAAAATATTAGAGTCCCGTGGTCATATCTGGGCTGTTGGGCAGCTACGAAAGCGTTATAATGCCCGGATTTGGTTAAGTAGCCGTTCACAAGAATGGCGGTGTAAGTCGGGGTGTTGTCGTGGTGCAACTTCCAAATGGCTGGGATGTTTTGTTGGACCCGATTGACTCTTCGTTTGAGTCTTTTGACGACTTACACGTAAAACTTAGCGTAGACGGTTTGTCCAGGAGGAACAAATTCATGGTGGACGATTCCCTTGATCTCCAAAGGATACGCTCATTCTTCCCGTTTTTGGGCCTCTTTGTTTAGGGATCACACTCAAAGATCCATGACTCGTCACTTGGGATTACGTTATTCAAAAATATAACAACAATTATACATACGTATAATATATGATTGATAAAATTAAAATTTAACAACAACATACCGCCAATAAGCTTCACATAGTTTACTGAATATTCATTTAAAACTTAGCGAAATAAAACATTCATACAATTTTAAAACAAAGAGGAATATCGAATTAGGTAGCACTAAAATGTTACAAAGAAGAAAACAAAGCGTGTTGCCGAAGTACGAGCAACTTAGGGAAAATAAACTAAGCGTTTTCGCAAAAATGTGTATACGCCTTAAAGAAGATTTTTATTCTTAGACTTTTCCTCGTTATTTATCTTTGCAAGAATATAAAAGGTGCTTAACCTAATTTAATACAATGAGTTAAATGACTGGCAAAATCGTATAAAATACATTTTCATTTCGTAGATAGGTATTAGTGAGTTGTGTTAGCATATCGAAGAAGAGTACAACCTATTTAATATTGCCAGATTTATTAACAAGGTACTAATATCGTATGCAAATTTAAAAATTTCGGGATTGTGCGAAGCGGTAACAGTGAAGATGTTACACTTTTTTCCTTTTAATTTTTAGTTTGAATTTTTGGTTTTGATTTTTATATATGCATACAATTTTTCTTACGCTTTCTTTCTACATTTTTGCTCTATGGTGTTTACACTGTGTTTCATCAGGTTAGCAATCGTTAAGTTAATATAGTTTTAATTAATTTTTATCAAATCTAAGAAGCAAAGAAGGAGAAAATTCTAAGCTTATTAATGATTAGTAACGAATCAATGTTAAATATAAAGAAATACACCTTTCACCTTTTTATACTCTTGAAACCAGAATATTATAGTTTTGTTCAACCAGCGGCTGTACGTATCAACTAAACCTAAGTAAAATACATATAGGGTTATATATGTATATATATATATGTGATCAGGCTGACGAGAAAAGTTGAAATCCAGTTGACTGTCTGTCTGTCCGTCCGTTCGTGCAAGCTCTAATTTGAGTAAAAATTTAAACTTGGTATGTACTTTCTCAGTTTCTGAAAAAGTGGGCGTTCTTTACAAGTTTAATGTACATATCTCCTAAACCACTTAAGCTATAAAAACTTAATTTGATAAATACAAATCTTATAAGAACTTTTACCAACAGTGTGAAAATGGATAAAATCAGAGTACAACCGCTCTCACTCCCCATATAACGGTACTGTTACAAAATACTAAAAGTTTAATTTTAAATTCCTACGACACATTGTGAAAATGAGCGAAATCAGATAACCCCTACATCCCATATGGCACAGTTATAAATTCCTCTTCATTATTTTATCGGGTGATTTTTTAAGAGCTTGATAACTTTTTTAAAAAAAAAAACGCATAAAATTTGCAAAATCTCATCGGTTCTTTATTTGAAACGTTAGATTGGTTCATGACATTTACTTTTTGAAGATAATTTCATTTAAATGTT